ATTCTCCAGGGTGCTCAGTGAAAAGTCACCAGGCCACATGGCCCCAGAGCTTCACCAGAGGCCTGTATCTTCTTTCTAAGCTCTACACTAAGCCGGACAGTTATTTCAAGAGTTACCTTGGGATTCTCAAAAAATTCCAAAAATGGGGTAAAGTTTTGTTTCTGTTAGTTTTAATGAAAAGTAAAGCCCTGATTAACTGCATCCTTCAAGTGTCTAGAATTTTATATGTGCCTGACTTTTGAGTGAAAGAGGCAAGTCACAAAAAGCACAGGCAAATGTGATCAATTTTTTTTTAATATAATCATTTTTTAAAGAACCATGTATGATGTATCCTAGGAACAATACCCCAGGAGCCCAAATTCCACTTTTCCTGCAGCCCTACCCAGATTTCAGGGCCTTAATCTGTCCCTAAGCCAGAAATCCTGCCTAATATTCATGGCAAGTCTTTCCTGCTGACTGGACTGTAACTTCTCTGAGGTCAAGAGACTGTATTTTATGCCACTTTTACTCCACACAGTATCTAACACAGATCTTTGCACATTTTAGGGTTTTAAATATTTAACAATGGATTAGAAAATGCTACATATCTTCATTAGTGTCAGTAGTGTGGCCAGAACATTTCAAGTCATTCTCCTCTGTTTCTCGTTTGGCTGTTTGGAGTCAAATGGGTTTGGGTTTACATTTCTGTTCTAACAGCGACTGGCGACGTGAAGTCGGGCAGATTCCTTAGCTGTCAGCCTGACTTGGAGGGTTGTTGTAGAGATCACTGATTACGTGTTTACAGCGTCTGACAGCTGCTGCCGTTACTGCTATTATTTCACCCGTCTTGAAAGCAGAAGCCTCCTGGCTTATAGCTTATTCTTCCACAGTTGAGAGCTCTTGTATTTTCTGGAATTGCATTTCCATTTGGGAGTTTTAGTTCCTATTACTTAAGGCTGGCTTCAGTGGTTGGGAGTTGGGGAGGCTCTTTGACCTGAATCTCCAAAGATGAGTAGAGGCTTGAAAAGCAGAAGCGGATGGAAAAAGCATTCCAGGCAGAAGGAACAGCATGTGCAAAGACCCAGGGGCACGAAGGAGAGTGACATGCGGAGGAAGTTGATCGTGGCTAGAATAGGGGATGTACCCGGCGGGCAGAGGGCAGACAGAGGCTAAGCATGTGGGCAGGAGCCAGATCGTAAAAGGCACTGCACGTGATGCTAGATTTGGACTACCAGGAACATTGTTAGATTGGTATTTTAGCGAGGTTCTATTCTTCATTAATATCCTGTAAGTATTCAATGAGTCTCTGGGCAAAATTCTTTTTAATTAGATTAATGGACTTTGAGCCAGGTACAGGGAAGAGGAATAGACCATTTTCCCAGCATGTGATGCCTTACTATACTTAAGAGGAACATCTCACTTAATTTGTGGTGGGTCCTGGGTGATGTGGCCGGCAAATGATCTCAGCCCGGCCATCCCTTTGCCCTCTCTATCAGGTTGACAGTTCCACAGATTGAAATGCAGTCAGTGCTGGTTGATCCCAGGTTTTTTGCCTCAGGGTTTCCTCAGTAGATGGAATCTACAATATCTTTGGACATCAAACGTAGCACATTAACGCTTATCTTCACATCTGTGCTAGTGTAACGTGCACCCAGCCAGATGCTTTCGAACCATCTTGAAATGTGTGAGCAGGGCTCGGCAAACACGTTCACAAGTTCCTTGTTCTGTTTTCGGCATTGTTCTCTGCCTTATAAACCAGCCAAGGTCTGGGGAATGGCGAGAAGGAGCAGAGTCTCTGAGGCCTCCAGTCTCCTGCTTCTCCTTTGCACGCAAGAACATGTCGGAGCTAAAGGCTCCTGGAACTGTCTGCCCATCGCGCTGGGCACATCTGACAGTGGCAGAGAGGCTTTGCTTTCTCTCCCCAGCCTGTGCTCTCAGCTCCTCTTCTCCGTCAGCCTCTTCTTCACACTGCCCCTCTTGCTTCACTTCCAAGTACCTTTTCCATCATTTGGGCTCAGCAATTCTACTATTGTTCTTCCTGTCTGGTTCTCTGAAATCCAGCCCACACCTTTCAACTCCATATCCTGAGTCAAGTGTTTGAAAGCTGTTATTTCATGTTAATTAGGAGTTCTTTTTCCAGCCAAGAAGCCTTGCACAGAACTGTTCCCCCAAGCTGTGGCTTAGAGACGAGCTCTGGTGTTTTGTACTTTGGTACGGTTAGAGGAATCGTGGGTAATTGCTCTTAAAGCCGCAGTGCTGCCTGCCAGGCCAGGATACCTTCCCCACGACTCCGTGGCCCTCCGTGGGCTGGCAAGCTCCGAGCTTGACTCAGCCAGAGGACTCGGTGCGCCTCCAGAGAACACCGTGGTCTCGGCGGGGTCTCCCCTGGCCAAAATTGCTTGGCACCCAGACCTCATCCACGAGGGTCTCTGGCCTCCAAGTAGGTCTCCACCAAACGCTGTCAGGTGACCGTTCGGCAGCTCCTCCTTCCTTTGTAACACATGTTCCAGTTGACCCATGTCAACTGGGCCCATGTCATGTGGGAGATTCTGGTGGAGAAGTACTCCCACCACCTTCTGGACTCATGAAGACATCAGCAAGAGTTGGCTTCCGGCTCCTTAAAAACCCCTCAAGACAGCCTGAGTGGCTGCCGTCCCTTGCAGGCAGTCCTGGAAAGGCCTCAGGGAATTTCCACTTCTTGAGGTGTTTTTGAGCAGAAGCCAAGCCCTGTTCTCACATCTGGCCTCACTCTTTACGCCCACCTGCTGGTAGATCAGGGCCTCCGTCCGTCTCCTTACCAGGCCTGTTATTCCATCGTCCTAGGCTTCTGCAGACCCAGGCTTGAGAAGGCTGCAGCCCTGACCCCTCTGGGAGCCACCAGCACCCCCTTGGGCATCCTGTGTTCCATTTGGAGGGAGTGGTTGGTGCTAACCCATCCTGAGCTTGGGTGGCGACTGTTAGGACCGCCCTCCTTCCACCTCTCCCAGGGCAGGGGGTGGACTTTCCTCCTCCGAAGTGCCTGCCCTCAAATGAGTAGTGAGGCATTCTCCTATGTGTCTAACTTAAATCACTAGAAACATGTTTCTTTACCTTTTGTGGTTTATAGAGAAAATAGTCAGTGAGCAAGTGCTGATCTAAAGCGCACTGACCTCAGAGCACAGTTCTAAGCACTGTGGAAGTGAGGCCAGAGGTTCTTTTATTGAAGGGAGATAAAACCCCCTACTGAGAGGGGTCCTTACACAGATAACACTGATATTGTTTTGTAAAAGTGCCAAGCACGGGCACATAGAAGACCTTTAAAAAACAGGAGTTCCTCCCTGTCTTTGTCTTCTTTTTATTAACAACAAACACCAGCTGATATGATACACACGGCGTAAAGATAAAGGTGTGAAAGTGGTACCCACGGAAGACTTATTTGATGAGGTGGAGTTTTAGCTGAATTTAGGAAGAATTAAGGAGCGATGTGGATTAGTAGAGATTAAGATTGAGAGCATGGGCTTCCCTGGTGGCGCAGTGGTTGAGAGTCCGCCTGCCGATGCAGGGGACACGGGTTCATGCCCCGGTCCGGGAAGATCCCACATGCCGCGGAGCGGCTGGGCCCGTGAGCCATGGCCGCTGAGCCTGCGCATCCGGAGCCTGTGCTCCGCAACGGGAGAGGCCACAACAGTGAGAGGCCCGCGTACCGCAAAAAAAAAAAAAAAAAAAAAAAAAAAAAAAAGATTGAGAGCATGGCATATATTCTTAGAGTTATGATAAAAACATAGCCTTTGGCCAGTGAATTACACTGGTAGGAGTAAAGGGCCCAGTGGGATCCATGGCACTGAATGGGATGGTGACATAGGAGTGGGCCAGTGGGCAGAGTGTCTTAAAGCAGTGGTCCCCAACCTTTTTGGCACCAGGGGCCAGTTTCACGGAAGACAATTTTTCTTCGGACCGGTGGGGGGCCGTGGGAGGCAGGGCGGGTGGTTCAGGCGGTAATGCGAGCGATTACCGGGGGGCGGCGGATGAAGCTCTGCTTACTCGCTGCTCACCACTTGCTGTGCGGCCCGGTTCCTAACAGGCCGCGGACTAGTACCCCTGTCTTAAAGGACTCGATAAGGAATTTTGACTTATTATTATAGTCAGTAAGGAATCATTATAGTTTCTTGAGCTGGGAATGAAAATGATTTTTGGAGATCTTTATTATATGACTTCTTAGAGCCGGGCAGGTGAGTGGACAGCAAGACCTTCAGGACGGTACCTGGGCTCATGCTGGGGCTTTCACAGGGACAGTAGTGATGAGCCCAGGGACCAAGGGAGCTGATGTCTAGAAGGACATAAGTAGACTTAGGGGGCGGGGCAGCTCTGAGGGGCCACGAAAGGGAGAAGGGGCTAAGCTTAGTGCCCTGAAGGTCTGGGAGGAACGCGAAGCCATCGGTTGTTTAAAAAAAAAAAAAAAATTAGGAAGAGGTAGTGGGTGACTATGGGTGACTTTGTGAAGTCCTAGCCCCTACAGAGCAGGGCTGGAGAAGATCAAAGAGGAGAGGGCCTTAGCCCGAGGCCCCCTTTTTATGTGCCCTCGGCTCAGGCTTTCGTCTCCTTCCCATGATAAGGATCATTGTGGAAGGTTATTTGTAGATATTTATGTAGATAATTACATCGCCTGTGTAATTTTGTAAATAAATCAAGATTCGCTTTGGATGCATTTTTGAAGTTTTGCAAATAAATTGGTTTTGTTCTAAAAAGCACGGTCTTAATAAAATCCCGGTGTTCTGAATGAAATTAGCCACTCCAGACATGTTTAACCTGACCACACATGGTGGCATTGTGCCGGCATTGGCATCGGGGGTGAGACTTATGCAAAGGCAGGTATTGAGCCGGGAGTTCTGGAATCCTCAGTCCTCCTGCCACTGCTTCCCTCGGATCCAGCCTTTGGATGCCCCCTTCTAGAATGAGTACAGAGCTTCTGGCTACTTTGTTTTGTTCTGGTGGGGACTCTGGCTTGAGCTGTGTTCTTTTCTCCCTTTATCTCCCCACCACAGACTACTGTTTTCCAAAGTGAAGTTGGAGTCGCTGTGCCGGGGCCCGGATGAGGCGCTCCTCACTTGTAAGCACATGCTACAGATTTGGAAATCCTGCTACAATCTTACCAATCCCAGGTAAGAGGCCAGCGGCGGCACCTGTCGTGCGTGGTTTTTGCATGGCCCCTGCCTCTCAGTCCATCCCCGATAGGCATTTAGCAGGACAAATTCTCTACCCCTGTGCACCCCTAGGCCCCCGGGAGCCACAGGTAAGAGCAGTGGAGCCTCACACATTACATTTTTAAGCAGATTTTCTCTTAGTGTCTGATGAAATCTCCAAATTGTGGGTTTCTTATGCTTTTGTTGCCACGGTGGCCCTCTAGGCTCACTTCCAATTGGTCTCCGTCTGATTTCCCTCAGCCAGCCATTTATGTAATTCCCTTTGACAAGTCTTTATCTTTCTGGTGATTTATGGATAGACTAGTCAATTATATATTCCAGATGGGGTTCTCACAGTAATATTTTAAAAAGACCTGCATAGACAACAGGCCACATGCTACTAAGGAGAGTAGAAATTGCTTTTGACATGATAAAGTGTAATTTTCAAAAAGTTAAAATCATGACTCAAACAAATATAAAAGATTAGCACATATAAAACATAAAAGATTAGCACATATGAAAGGTTTTACTTACCTCATTAACTAATGAGGGAAGCAGTAAAATGTTAAGACCCATTCAAAGAAGAATTTGAAAAATAGATTTGCTGAAATGAATTTGCAAATAAATATAAAAACAATAATATTCTCTGGAACAATGAAATACATTGTATGGGGTTATCTTTTCTACGGAGTGGACATTGATTGTATCTCGACCAGACAAAATTCGTAGGTTTTCTACTGGCCAACTCTGCCCCACAGAGATGTGAAAGGGCCCAGCCAGTAGGAGTCAGTCAAAGGCGCCCACCCTGCAGAGGCAGATAATCTGGGGAAGGTCCACTAGTCAACTCCCAGCATGTCCCCGAAAAGCACCATCTTCAAGTCTTGAGCAGTGTTTCCCAGCATGTGTCTAGATTACGAAGTGTGCCCTGACCTGTGAAGGAAATGATTTAATGAAAAGGGACCTCACGATTCAGGTGAATTCAAACAACTGCTCAAACACTCAGAATATTTTTCAAGTTCGCAGCAAGATGTATGGACAGCCCACATTCTGCTCTTAAGAGTCAGGAGCCTAAGAATGTATAAGTCAAATTGTAAATGTGTTCAAGGGTGTGGCCCACCCAATCCAGCCCAGCAGGAGGCGGGCGGGTAGGCTGGTGAGTCGCTGCGGGGTGGGAGGAAAGGTGGGGTGGGGTTAGGGAAGCAGCAGGGTGCTGGTGGGGTTCCGTGTGAGATCTTGTTTGACAAGCTTCTGCCATTAAAAATATATATATATTCAAAATCAGGACCCTGTTGAGGTGATGGGTCCTGATGAGCTGACATGAGCCAGAGTTGAGACCACAAGCCCCGTGGGCGGTGTGGCTAGAAGATGGGAGAGCCTGGCCGGGAGCCCCCCCTTGCAGAGCCCGAGCCACAAGAATTACACGAGAGCCCCCTTCCTAACCGTAGCCTGTGGCACGTTACCAGGCCCATGGGGCCCATCTTCCTCTTGGTGAAAAGCTAATCGTGAAACTGGCCTCTTCCCTTTTGTGGGTATGTTCTGGAGATAAAGATCATTTTAATTTTTTTTTAAAAATTCTACTTTTCTAAGTCTGTAGGCAGAATAGGAAATGTCCATATTTATGTCCCAAAGTCCCCACTCCCAGCCTACCAGACTCAGCAGGATTTGAGGGAGGGTCTGCCGCGAGCCCAGCTACAGGCGATACTGCCCGAGCTGGCTGCTTCCTACTGGAGCACATCCCTTTGTCTGTACCCCCTTTAGAAGTGAGAAAATAAATCCATCAGCTTTCCCGTTGCCAGTTTTCTCTCAGTTCTCCACACCTCTCCCACCTCCCCACATTTCTTCCCACTTAGCAACCAAGAGTATTGCATGTGAGGAGAAGAAAAAATAGCAGAATTGGAAAGCTTTTTAAAAACACTTAACCAAATGCCTGGGCTGTGTCCGTACTTGCTCAGCTCCCTGAAGGATCCTTCAGGGCCAGGCAGGGGGGGACCTTGGCTCCGGGAGCAGAGTCTGGCTGGGGGGGGTGGGGGACGCATCAGCTCTACGGAACTGCTCCCTCCAGCTACTCCCAAAGCCTCGAGGGGGGGTGCTGGCAGTCCAGCAGCCCCTTATTAAGGAGTTTCCTGTTTGTTTTTTTAACTCTATTTTCTCTGGGATATAAATAAATGTTTCTCCTGTAGCCCTCACCAGTGTGCAAATTTAGACATCCTCCCCAGTACGGTCGGGGAGGGCGTGACCCTGGCAGTAGAATAAAGCAGAAGAGGGGAGGGTAGTGTCTTGATGGGGACAGCACACCCCGCAGTTCTCCAGATAAGGGCGGCTCTGGGCCCAGCAGCCTCAAGTCGGGTCACGCGGGGCTTTAGAAGAGGATAGAAACGCATGCACAAGTGGGTGAGAAGCATCCCTGCTTAATAAAAGACGTGAAAGCTGAGCAGAAAGCATGCTGGCAGGGGCCGGTTGGTTTCCAGCTGCAGAAGGTCCTCACTGACTTCCGGGCTCAGGCGCCCGTGTTTCTAAGTGTGCTCAGTTGTGAGGGACCTGTGCTCACCCTCCCAGGGCGTCCCACTGCTCGCCACCCCCAAGAGCCCCACCCAGGGGCTGGCACAGGCCTCCAGAGCAGTGGGACAAGGGGGCGCAGAAGAAGACACGGGCAGTAACAGGGCCAAACAGAGACAAGACCTGGCTTCCTGTCCTCTGCGCCCCGTCCCTCCTCTTCACTCTTGCTTGAAGGAGCACCACCCTCTGGGCCGGTCGCTGAACGGAGCCTTAGGCCAAAGAGCGGTCCCTGCAGGCTGAGAACGCTTCTCCTGCTGTGAGCAAAGGGTGGGTGGCGTTCTCCTGAGTGTGCGTTTGGCAAGGTGTTGGTCACTTCAGAAGCCTGGGTTGAGGCCTGCAGCTTTGCGTGCCTTTAGGACAGAAATCCGCCTCACGTTTCGTCTTCTCTCCTGCTGAAGTGCACAGCTCCCTCAGCTCTTGTGCGCGTTGACTTGGCCACTTAAGACAGTGTGACCTCTGGCCAGAGCCTCGCCAGACGGTCCAGCACTTCAGCAAGGGATGCTGTACCTTCTCTGTGCCAGCACCGTGCTAAGCTGTTTATACATACGTTCTCCTCAACCCCTGCCTCAGCCTTGCAAGAAAGCTACTGTTCTTTCCACTTCATAGAAAATAAAAGTGAAGCTACACTTCACTTTTATTAAAGAACTTGCCCTAGTTTTCTCAATTAAACAACTAGTAGAGCTATTATTCAAACCCAGGTCTGCCGAACATCAAAGCTCTCTCCATCACCCATGCTGCCTCTCTGAATTGACAACCAGCTTTTTTTCCTTTATTTTTATTTTTTATCATTAACTATTTCTTCCCCCTCTTGTCACTGCCACTTAGACCATCTCCATCATGTAGCCATATGATCGGAAGAAAAGTTTTTCTTCCTAAGTCCCATTTCAATCACATTAACGAATAGCATATAAACATTTTTTAAAAAGAATTTATTTGCTCTAACCTCAGTTGGAAATTGGAAACCCCATTTTTTTTCTTTTGCGGTACGTGGGGCCTCTCACTCTTGTGGCCTCTCCCGTTGCAGAGCACAGGCTCCGGACGTGCAGGCTCAGCAGCCATGGCTCACGGGCCCAGCCGCTCCACAGCATGTGGGATCCTCCCGGACCGGGGCACGAACCCGCGTCCCCTGCATCGGCGGGCGGACCCTCAACCACTGTGCCACCAGGGAAGCCCCGGAAACCCTATTTCACGCTAGTAGTCATCCATATTTCGGTAGAGCTTTTCCTTTTACAAAGTGTGCTCTCATTCATCTTCAAAGTAGCCCCATAAAATGGGCAAATGTCGTGTTACATCAGACCCATTTTACTGATGAGAAAATTGAGTTTGGGAATGTTGAGAACTTGCCTTGATTCATGTAATCCAGGCTTAAGTTGCCTGGGAAATGTTCTGGTTTCCTATCCAAGGCCCCTCTATTACATCAGTATTTACTGTGTGCCAGGCACTGTCTCAGAGCTGGGAAAGGACAAGGCTGTGACAAGGACCCCAGGGTTCTGGCTCCCAGTCCACCATCAGCTTGCCTCTTGTGTTTAATCTCTGTGTAGCTGTGTTAGAGGATTTCCAAGAGAAGCTTCCAGTTTCTAGGATAACTTAACCATCAGTACAGTATACTCTGGATTTTCAGTCCTTCTTTAAGGGAATAGAAATTACCTGGATGTGTACATCTACATATGTGGGTCTCTTCAGCTTATGTGCGGTGGATTTGGGGCTCCTTCCAGTTTCCTTTCCCTAAACCCTCTACTAACACCACTGACCAGTAATGGTTTTCCTTTCCTTCCTGTCATCCTCCTTCGGAGGTGGTCCTGGCACCTAAGGGCCAGACAGAGAAGAGATGAGGTGACTGAGCTGTAGGGGGAGGTGGTCCACGGAGTGTCCAAGTAGATGTGTCCCAGAGGGAGAGAGGAAGGCTTGCCCGAGAGACGCTGGCCAGAATGAGAGAGCGAGGCCAGGCCTCCCTCTGCCCCTCCTTCCATATCCTGTGGATCACGGCAAAGACAAATTCTGCACCATATAAACAAAGAACTAAAACCTGCTTAAAGCATCCAGCAAAATTCTCAGTCAGTCACAACAGTCAGAGTGGAAATGAAATCATCTCCATTTGAATAGTTATTTGTTGCTATATAAGCAACAGATACTATGGAGATAAACAAATACTATGGAGATAAACTAAGGAATGTAACCAAATATTGTTTCTCAGCTGGTGGAAGGGAAATAGGTCCTGTGTCCCTATCATTGGCTGCGGTTCATAAGTTAAGATCTTCGTTTTAGTTGGGGTTTATAACATCTGGAGTGGAGTAGGAGGTCCTTAACTCAGCTTCTCCACACCTACCGTTGCACCAGACAGCTGGGAATAAGTTGTCTCCAAAAGTCAGCCAGCCTTGTTAACCCCTGATGCATGTTTGGAGGCATGGTGTTTATAAGGACACCTGGCGTGTGTCCAGAAGTTATACTTCTTCTGAATGTTCTGTCTCCATGACCTCAGTTCAGCCTGACACACTTCTGTGTGGGAAGAAGAGGCCACCTCACCTGACAGGGAAGTCACTGAGGCACAGAGAAAGGGGCCTTGCTCAAAGTGACCTACCATTAGTGACAGATGTGGGATAAGAACCCAGACTCCTGGTTGGGTTCCAGGACCCAGCATGACATGCAGCAGCCAACCCTGTGCTCTGATACTTGGTGAAATGAGAAGCCTGGAGGATTGTGGCTGAACCAGACATCTCCCATCCACTTACTGTGATTTGGTCCACTGAAAACCCAGGCAGATCCTTCCTTGGCAATTCCAAGACCTCATTGTGCGTCCTGGAATCCCCAAGGTGATGAAAAACTTCACTATATTTTGAGATAAGATCTTCCAAAAAACTCCTAAGTGGGGAGCCATTGCAACATTCAGATAATGAACTCTTTGTAATATTTTTGTAGTATTTTTTGTAATATTTATATTTAAAATACATGCATGAATAGATCAATGCTAGAAATATTCAGTTGCTAATGTGATTAATGCAAATTTGCATGTACTTTTATGCTGTCTTCTGCTCAGAGACATTTATTGTTTCTCAGTCATGGAAATAATTAATAGAACAGATCCCAAAAAGCATGTATCCAGTGTTGTCATAAGTATAGGCTGACAAACCAGTCTGTACTGAAGCAAGTTTCCTTCTGTTTCCTGTGGATTTCTCTAACTACATCACTGGACGTGGAAATTGCAGCCTGCAAACCATATTAAGTTTCATAGCAAATCTTGTTTGTACCACTTTTAGCAACAGCTGCATAGAGGAAGGAAATTGTGTCCCTTTACTGTGGAATTTGAACTTCTTAACGAAAAAAATCATTTGTAGAGCCACCAGATTGGGGAAAAAAAAAAATGGATTCAAAGAAAAGCATTAAAGGCTCAAACCTCAAGAGACAGATATACATCTTTTGATAGAATACCATGATAGAGGAAAAAAGAATACAATTGTTTAATTGTTTTTACTTACAAGTTTCTTAGAATTAAAAAAAAAAAAAAAGTCTTTCTGAGCTGAGCGCCCTTAACGGTGTTTCATTCCCGTTAGTCCCGATGTGGTCTTCCACGTGACTCGCCCAAGGAGTGGGGCTGATCCCGTTACTATACGCAGGAGCAGCCTGGAGAGGGGGCTTCAGTGCCGGAAGTTAGTGAGAACCACTGGCCTGGAGGCTGCTGCTAAAACGCGACTGTGTCCTCTCCAAGGCCCAGCCTTCCCAGCTCGGGAACACCGGAAGGGGGCTGTAGCTGCCACTCTGCCAGCACCCAGCTCAGTGTAGGGCCTCACACCTCCTCTCTCTTGTCTATTAAATAGAGGTATCAACCACACCATTTATCTTAAAGGCTTGTTCTTAGGACACAAACGAGGCCGTGGCTGTGATCACCCTTTGAAAAGGAAGGGCCAGTGGTTCTTGAATTTGGCTATGCATTAGAACCATCTGGGGAGCTTTGAAAACCAGAAATTCTGATTTATTTGGTCTGGGGCAGGACCCAGGCATCAGTGGCTTTTCGAGATGCCCCGGGTGATTTTTCTGTGCAGCCAGGGCTTAGACGCACTGGTGTAGAGCGTTGGTTCCTAAAGACAGCTCGAGGGTGATGTGTTCATGGGCTTGAGCCTGAGACTTACAGCACAGAATGCTCATCAGCTTCCCCACACGGTGGATGGAGAACGTGGCTCGAAGTTCTCATTTTTGTGTCTTACAGTGACACAAAAGAGACGAAAATTAGCTCGGGTCTCTGGGTGCGGTTTAAACCGTGTTTGTGATACGGATCCTGAAAGGAATCCCAGACCAGGCCGGGCGGGGAAGCAGGATGCCCGGTGATGAGTGGAAAGGTGCTGAAGAAGCTCAAAAAATGCACAGAAGGTTTTGCTGCATTCAGGAGTCGGGATTGGTTGACTCTGTTTCCTTCCCCTGCCCACCCTTCAAATGACTGACATTTGTAGCTGTGTTTTGCAGTGATTCTGGACGTGGGAGCAGCCTCTTAGATAGAACCATTGCTGACAGACGACAGCTTAATACAATTACTTTGCCAGACTTCAGCGATCCCGAGACAGGTGAGAATAAAAAGCCAGAGGGGCCGAAATGGTGTCAACCAGAAGGGACATGGGGCCTGGCCCCAAGCCGCGCGGGATGAAGACCACCAGGGCCTGGGGCGGGAAGAAGTCCTCACCCAAATAGGCTAAACTGTCACCTGAGGTGCGTTTTCTCCGGTGTCTTTTTTTCAAGTGTTTGTTCACAGTGGGGGAAGTAATATTACTTGCCCAGCACAGCTCTTTGAAATCTATTTTTCCCCTTGCTCTTGGAGCCGAAAATTCGAAACTAAAATTAGACTGTCCCCATCCCCATCAAGCTTCCCCTCTGCTTTTCTGTTTCCTTCTCTTTCTTTAGATTTCAGACCTTGCTAAAATCCAGCTTTCGGTTTCTAATCAGTTGCACATGTGAACTCACACAACCCCACAGGAAACCCTGCAGGGAGAGGCAGGTGGGTTCAGAGCTTCTGAACCTACTGACCCCACGCGGAAGCTTGTAGCACTTACTGCCTTGGAGCAGCACCTCAGTTATCATTTGCGTTTCCACAGTTGCCTAAGTACAGAGGGGTAAAGATACCTCTGTAATCTCCAAACAAGTAACTTTAGTAGTAATACTGACTTTTCAGTGGCAATTCGGAGGACTCGACAGACCCACAAAATGTAAAGAAATCCACGGCGCTTTGAGCCTCAGGGATAGTTCCAGAGCATCATTTGGAAGCTGGTTTTGGTGCTTCTCCCGCCACCCCAGAGGGCCCTGGGTCAGGCTGAATCGCTGTCTGGGTACGCCTGGTCTTCTGTGGGTTGATTTCATGAAAGGAGCCTCCGGGTCTTTCTCCTGCACTGTGCCAGGTCCCGGCTCCTGACCAAGCCCCTCCAAAGAGCCAGAGAGCAGCCCCGAGGCGTGCACAGCCGTCCTTGGAAAATCTCTCCCCAGGTGGCAATGGGAGCCGGGTGTGGTACTCACCCAAGCCCGTCCTCACAGCTGCCTGCCTTCCTGTGCTAGTCTCCCTTTTACCAAATTTAAAGTCGGCTGAAGAAGCCTGATCCCAGGGCCTTGGGGCTCCTAGGTCAAAAGAGTGTTGGGCATTGGAAGCAGCATGAATTATAAATTAGTGCAGTTTAACAGGGCTTGCAGCCACTGCTCAAAATGCAGGCCAGCTAGGCCACAGAGAAACTCGCCCCTGGAGTAGCCTGGCCCCTGGGTGGAGGGGCAGTCATTGGTGGGCTTAGACGGAGAACCAGGCAGACCCTGACCTGGGATAGCACAGCAGAGGTCTGCTTGTGGTCCAGACCTGCTAGAGGGACGTGTGTAGCCCCCCTCGCTGCAGGAGAGGGAAGGTCAGGCTGTCAGGAATTAGCCACTGAGAGGTGAGGCTCGGACCCCGGGGAGAGAAGAGAGGGAGGTAACAGTCACTACGGCTGGCTCACAGCTGCTGTGGCTGCCCAGGGCCAGCTTCCCCTTCTCCCCCACCCACAGGACCCTGCGAGGACACTCATACTAAATTTAGACCCCCTTCCCCTCCAGCTGATCGGGACCTTAATCTCCCCTGAGGTCTGAGACTTTCATCCACATCGCATTAAAAACAGACAGTGGGAGAAAATGAGTGAGGCCCTTGGGATTCATTCTCCCCTTTGCCCCCTGGGACCTTTTCCCCAGAGCCTCCAGGAGGCTCCCACTTCAGGTTAAACATCAGGTACCGTAGCTTCCAGCCGAGGTGTGTCTCCGTGGCAGAGTCGGGGGTCGCTGCCACTTGTCCGTAGTGGACACTGCTCTCCCTCAGGCGCTGGCCAGTGACCAGTTTATTCTGTTGGTGTGGTTGTATGTCCACACGACGCCCTCCAAGACTCCTCTCACCGGCCCTGCCCCCACAGCCCCAAATCGTTGCTTTTCACACCACCACCACCAGTTACTTACCCAGGAGGCCAGGAATCAGAGCAACGGAAGGCCACGTTAGCAGGCCCTATCAGTTGCAGACTTATTATAAATGATGGTAAAACATTCTGAAGTGGTCATTTAAATCAGAGAGACTTAAAAATTAGGAAGACTCACCTATAAATGGAAAAGATGCCTCCATCTTGATTAATAAAGCCCAGTTTTAGATAGTTCAGCCCGTGGGTGGTCGCAGGAGGGCAGCGGTCCTTATTAGTGCATCAGTGGGGACGGCCTGTCTCGTGAACGACCCACAGGTTTGGTTCAAACTTGATTCCGAAGGTTCCATAGAGGTGTTTTGCTTCCATCCCTGCCCTTCCATCTTGCCTTTCCCTAAAGATAACCATTTTTTATTAGCTTTTTGTTTACCCTCCCATGCAAATAAGATTATATCTTATTTCCCGTGTCCCTTGACTTGAAAATAGCATACCATATGCGTGCTGCACAGCCCCTGTGACGTGTCCCTTTACACATGCCCTGAGGATTCCTCTGCATCCGTTTGGGAGAACGTCCTCAGGCTTCTGCAGTGCTTCTCTGCTTTTCGAAATGCATCCGACAAGAGCACAGCCGGCAAAGACGTGTGGCCAAAGCCGAGGTGACCTGCCACGGTTGTGATACTGCCAGTTCTGAGTCACCCAATGTGCAGTAGACTCCTCTGTGAAGGCACAGGCCCTCTTGGATTGTTTTTGTCTTCCAGAACTAAAATTTATTTCCTTTTTTAAAAAATTTTCTACTGTGGAAAAATTTCAAGTATACCAAAATAGAAATACTCGTATAATGAATCCCCATGTACCTACCACCAGCCTTCAACAATTCCTATTCTTTTTTCCTGTATCTCTGCTGTCCCACACTTAGTTTTTGTAGACTATTTTGAGGCAGATCTCAGACATCGTATTTTGCCTGTTAAAATTTCAGTGTATATGTCAAACAGATGAGAGCTCGGTTATAAAAATATAACCGAGATACCATTATTATACATCTGGGTCATTATGAAGTACAGGCTCAGTGTTCTTGATTTTGGAAAGTGAATAATTAACTGGGGTATGGTTTTCCACCTCTGAAATTGTCCGTATGCAGATCTGTGTAATAACATAAGGGGAACCCATGTCTAAAAGCTTTGGACTATAGCTGAGTCCACTGTGGCTAAAGAGTGGACATTGGTTTTATTAAATGGATGTGGCAGACTGAAAAAAAAAAACCCTTAAAGAATATGCTTTCCCTTCTAATATCACCTCTGGGTCCCCATCCCCCCACCTCTGTCATCCAATAAGTCCTAGCCATCAAGAGAGAGGAATCAAATGGAGTGACAGTCGTTTAACTTTGAAGCTTTGAATCATTGTCTTTTCTTCGGAATAAGTTAGTTCCTTAAATAGAGGAGGAAAAAGAATTCTTTTTCTTCCTTTTGCCTTCAAAACAGGAAGTGGAGTAAGGAGATTTATCTTTAATCATTGGTAGATATTACCAGACACCGATCCGTAGTAATGATTCTTTCACCTTGAAAGTTTGATCCACTTTGTCTGGGAAAAATTTTAATTTGTCACTGCAGTGGTTCTCCCTACTGCTGTGTATCTCTCCAGCTGAAGGCATGGAAGTGACAGTAATAGCTTCCTTTTCAAAGTGCCCGGCCAGTGGACCCAACCGTAGACCAGCTTAGCAAGCTTAGACTCCATTGTCACGATTCGGGGACCTGACCCATTGTTGCACCTCAGTTATCTGCACCTAGAAAGACCTTAGTTTTCAAGTAAACTTTATATAAGTGCTTCTCATAAAAAACAAATCAAGGAAAAGTCAAGTTCTAATCCTTTCCAATTGAAAACCAGATAGTTTCTTTTCCTCCAGAATGTCCTGGGTATTCTAGGTTAAAGAGGTATTATTTTCAATGGATCATACTGCTGAATCTGTGCCCAGGTAAATCTGAGATGTTTTTATGCCGTGGTGTTGTTGCAGAACAATTAAATAACCAGTGGAAAAAACAGCAAATTTGTTTTCTTCGAAAAGCACTTGTATTCTCTTGTCAAGTAGAGGAATGATTGTGTATTACATGACCTCATTTTCTTTGCAGCTTATGTGAGTATATTAAAAGCCAGTTTATTTTTTTTCTTTGTGTTTCTAAAGTTTTTTTGCCTTTATCCTTTTTTTTTTTTCTCTCTTTCATGTTTTTAGTGTCAGATTCCTCCTCCTCCTCTTCTCTTTCAAGAACCGAATCTCCTCTCCACCTGTTTGTATCTTCTCATCTTCATTCTCATCCCAAACCCGATACCTTTGTGTGGCCCCCGGCAGCTCATTCAGTCAGTGACCCAGGTCCCCGCCAGGAACCCTCTCTGTGTAAACATGGTTTATGGTTTTTTCCTTTCTTGTTAGATCTGCTTCATTTGCCTGATGTTTTATTTTCTGATAATCTTCCTAACTGATAAGCTGGATCGGAAACTCCATCAAATTTACCTGAGAGAAAATCTTGCTAGTTTGAAAATCCAAAAACTGCGGGCAGAAGGAGACCTTGGTGCCCAAGTTCCAACCTCCCTTTTAAAAAGTAAAGGAAATCTGTTTAGAGCAGAATCAGTAGAAGCTTCTCTGGAGCATCGCTTCCAGTTCTTGGGGACTTCTGTGCTTTCCGCTTTCCTGGAGTTGATATAAATTCATACAGATCTCATTTTTTAAAAAGACAAATTAGAACATTTTGCAAATAATAATTTACTCCTAATCATTTCTGGTTTTCAGTTTAGAAATTAATTCAACAAGTATATAGTAATCAAGGTAGTATTCTAAAGATATCAGTCATATGCCTTTTAAGTATGTGGTTCTCAAACCTTACTGTGCGTTAAAATCACCCAGAGAGCTTTGAAAACTGCAGATTCTCTGGGCCCTACCCCCGGAGTTTATGATTCAGGAGGCCTGAGGTGGGTCCCAAGAATCTTGATTTATAAAATACCTTCTTATGATCCCGATGCCAGTGGGTTCTGTACTACATTTTGAAAAACAATGCTATAAATTGTTTTCTGTTTGCAAGGAAGGAAAACGTAGGGCTTGTGTCATGAAACTATGCAGGGAAATTGAACAGTATTTTAATCTAATCTTGATTTTAAATAATAGGGAA